CTCTAAATCGAACCAAACATTAAACTAATTTCAATGGTACAGTATATTTTTCAAGTAGTGGTACCCCAAACTTTCGCAGCTCTTATAAATTCCCTTTCACACCATCAATAGGTAAACTCCCCCCCCCCCCCCCCCCCCGCGCCAAAAGGCAAGTCCACCGGCACGTACACCTCTTTTCTAAAATCGGCCAATCAAATGCTAATTTTTACCTTGTTTGCTCGCACACGGTTTAAAGGTCCGCGGTCTGAACGTGGTTGTGTTTCGCTAAATTTTCCTGTTTGATTTGTACTAGGTGCCTCGGTGAATGTATATGCTCTGACTTTAACATAGCTATTTCTGTGACCAGTTACAAGCTAATCACTCAGCTATTTCAATGCTAAATTCTATGCTAATTCCTTTGTCAAGGGGTGCCGCTGCAGATGTGTATACTTTAACTTAGCTATTTCAATGAGCCATTTCAATGCTAAATTATATGCTAATTCCTTTGTCAAGGTGCTTTGTTTCTTCTCACACAGCTTAAAGGTCGTGATCTGAGCGTGGCTTTTTTCACTCCAGCGCTGTCCTCCAGACAGTCTCGTCCCTTCACCTGATGAAGGCCGCTTGTGTTGTGGCCGAAACGTCGTGATTTTTGTTATTTATTTTTTACCTACGTGACTTTACCCAATAGAACCAAAGAGTATAGATCCTAGCAGTCACGAAAGCTTTAAATCTAGAATTTATGTACTGTGTTGAATCGGACCTGGATCTTGTGTTTATTCAGGATTTTGGAGATATTTTTAGTCACCCCTGCAATGTAGGGTAAGGTGATGGTTTTGAGTGGCTCCTCAAGAGTATCCTTCTTCATGGCTGGAGTGATGGCTTTGCGGATTGTGTAGTCGGAGTAACCATTAGCCCTGAGAGCCTGGTGTACGTGCTTGAATTCACTGGCAATGTGTTCCTGGTCGGAAATGCATTGGGCTCTATGGAATAGAGTCTTGATGAGGGAGTTCTTCTGGGATGGATGCCACTCTATGCCCGACCTTATGGAAGAGGTACGTGGATGACACTTTTGTCATCTGTCCAAATGGCCGGCCTGCTCTAGACCAATTCCTCGACCACATCAATTCCATACACCCAGCCATCAGATTTACCATGGAGGTCGAAAAAGATGGCAAGCTACCCTTTTTGGAAGTCCTAATAAAAAAAGAGACCTGATGGTTCAATGAGCCACTCTGTCTACAGGAAAGCTACCCATGCAGATGCTTACTTGAAACCGGATTCCCACCACCATCCATCCCAGAAGAACTCCCTCATCAAGACTCTATATCATAGATCCCAATGCATTTCCGACCAGGAACACATTGCCAGTGAAATCAAGCAAGTACATCAGGCTCTCAGGGCTAATGGTTGCTCCGACTACACAATCCGCAAAGCCATCACTCCAGTCATGAAGAAGGATCCTCGTGAGAAGCCACTCAAAACCATCACCTTACCCTACATTGCAGCGGTCACTAAAAAGATCTCCAAAATCCTGAATAAACACAAGATCCAGGTCCGATTCAACACAGTACATAAAATCCGTGATCTGGTTCCATCTGTAAAAGATGCTGTTCCAGACATACAGTACCCGGGCATTTATCAACTAAAGTGCCTCTGTGGTAGCAGCTACATTGGAGAAACCAAACGACATATCTCGGACCGCATCCGCGAACATAAATCAGACTTGAAACACGGTAGGACGAACTCCTCTGCCGTGGCAGGTCACTGTTATAATTCAGTGGGCTCACATGACATTGACTTCTCAAAGACGGAGGTTCTTTGCAAGCCAACCGGCTACCATGAGAGATTCGTTCATGAGGCCATCCACATATACAAGCACAGAGACAACTTCAACCGAGAAGATGGATTCTGGCTTAGTAACCATTGGAAAGATGTTTTAAACCATTTCGGTTCTTAATTAATTGTATTTTACGGTGACCTTCAAACCGCAGCTCTTTCGCTGGCATTGCCTCTTAATACCTCTCACACCATGGTTAATGGCATGGTTTATAACATGGAGTATAACAGCACATCGTGGCTGTGGTGCTGGCGTTGAGGGGAAGAAACCGCCACCCATTTTTTCGCCATACGACATTGTGATATATAACGACTTATTGTTGGTGGCTCAGCTGATTGGAGAGTTTATAGAGTTTATTGATAGCATTGAGGTAGTTTATATTTTAGTTTTGTATTGGTTTACTATATGGTATTCATTATATAGTGTAGTGTATACCCAGTTGCTTTGTGTTAATAGCTCAGCTTATTGAAGAATATATTGAGTACATTTATTATATTGATGTAAATTAGACTTCGTTTTTTCACATCGGTTTACTGTATGATAGTTGGGTAGTTGCAGCCCTTTAGCATCCATATACTAAATGCCTCTGTTGATATGTAAACTTTGACTTTAGCATAGCTATTTCTGCGACCAGTCACAAGCTAATCCCTCAGCTTTTTCAATGCTAAATTATTCTGTTTGATATGTAAACTCCTTTGTCAAGGTGCTTCAACTTCTCTCACCTGGCTTAAAAGACGCTACGAATCCTAGCAGCGTTCATTGAAGCGCTGTCGTCCCGACAGTTCTGTTCCTTCACCTGAAGAAGGTTACTTGCGTTGTGGCCGAAACATCGTGAGAATTTTATGTTATTTGTATTACTTTGTTTCCATTCTACGTGACTTTACCGAAAGAACCAAGAAGATATACAGAGTTTAGTTTTTTTCTTCCCTCCCGCAGCCCCTTGTCTTCCCCCTCTAAGTTATTTACCTTTCCCCTCCCCATATAAATATTCATGTCCTTGTGCGTGGTCCCCACTTGCATGGGGCAGCAAGCAACCTCTGAGTAATACGGTTGGCTATTTATGGTGCGAAAGAAGTTCAACATACATACAAAGGCTCCTATAGACTTCACTGTTAAACGCTCCCATATACCTCAATGTTAAAGGCTCCCACAGACGTGAGAGTGTTAATATCTCCCATAGGCTTCAGTGTTAAATCCTTCCTTAGACTTCGATATTAAATAGTCAAATTTCCACCTTCGTAAGGTCCTGCCGTGCTAAAATTCGGATTTCTGTTCACGGAATTTCTGTACCCCTCCATTTTGCGATTGGCATATTGTACCTGGCTTGCGTTGTGTTGCAATCAATAAAAATAAACATAACACTCCTTTGTAAAGCGTGCGCAGTTTTTTTTTGCTTTTGCTATTGCGTTGTGGAAAAAAACTCATTTTAGATATTATCTATGGGAACCTTTTTTGCCACCGGTATGAAGATGATGAATAGAAAGAATAGGCTTTTAACCATTTATCCAGCATTAATACAGGAGAGTTTGATGTTCAAACACCAAATAGACACCTATTATCACAAGGCATCATCAAGGCTGCATTAACCACAAGTCATGCTTGTTGTATTACATGCTAACAAACAGGATTTGATAATGTCCTTCAAACTGATTGACCTGCACCAGATAAGAACATTTCCTCATCATCAACGATCTTCCGCGAAGCTTACTGTCCACAACCCCCAAACCGTTTGATGATGATGATTGTCACGATGATGTGACTGGTCACCCATAACTTAACCATGGTATATATATATATAACAAATCATTGCACCGATTCACAAATTCGAAGGTGTTGAATCATCAAAGTGATGATTTATCAAAGCGATGATTCACGACTTTGCTTCTCCCGATGCTCTCATCTTGCTCATAAAACCTTTTCCCGTTCCGATGACGTATGTGTACATCATAGAAACGTAACCGGAAGAAAACATGAAATAAAATAACTATCGATACCGAGGCTCCCACAAGGCTATGTGGGAGGGTGTGTGGCACAGTTTGGTGCCAGCTAGCTTAGAGTGCGGTGATCGAGTCGCGATGGTTCATTGTGCCGAGTACACGTCTTTAAAGACAATGGCGCTACGCCTCTCTAAATAAAATTAACGCTAACCGCTTGCACGTTCTGTGATTCAGCAGTGAACAGGACATCCACCCTGCAACTTGCAGTCATCTCGGAACGGGAAAGGGTTTACAACCTCAATGTAAAATTATGGCTGTTGCTCTGTGAACACGTAGGCTTTCGTGACCAAGATTATTCATAATAAAGGTTTCCTCCAGTTTTTCCCTGAACATTTAGAATTGACAGGCTTTTGAAGTATTTGGCTACAATACATTTCCACGTGATGGTAAGGCGCTTCATTGTGCTATCTTTGCGATAGCCAGCTAGCTTCTGAAAGAGCTATACAAATCAGTGAGCCTTACCTGGTAAAATTAAAGTTTTAATACGAGTCTCGATGAGTATAGGTCTCTGTGGGTCTCTTTGGTTGTATATGAGTCTCTGAACCTGTGTGGGTCTCTGTGGGTGTGTTGGAGGTTAAATCCACAACATTTACAATCTGCTGGTGATTGCAAAAACTCGCTTCATCAGGTGATTTGCCAACACACCGTTGTGCTCAAGTAACTAATTGGCACGTTTTGTTTACGTGACAAACCCTACTAATTGACCGTGTCTGATGGTGGCGGATTTAACGACATTTATATTTACGTAATCTAACCCCGCCCCCCCCCCCCAAAAAAAAACCTTTATGAAAAATTAGATAAGATATTGCCATTCGAAATGTATTGCTACAGAATGATATAAGCTGAACCCAAAAAGAAACCAATTCAGAAGTAAGAAAAAGGTTGCAATATAGAAGACGACCTGATAATTGCAGGCAGCGATTTGGACACGTAGGAATGGACAACAGGAAACTTAAACGTGTGTTGTTTGGAACAATAGATGGAACTGAAAAGAGAAGACCTAATAGAGAATGGCTTGACGACATAAGAGTTTGGTGCCAGAAAGATGTGGCACTGAGCACTGTCACATTACAGAGAAAAATGGAAACAAATAACAAAATGTACAGTGGACACCTACTATGGGCTATCTGTCCATGGATCGTGATGATGTTAATAAAAAGTTTCATTCGAGTTTTTTTTAGTCTTACCAGAGAACTCCCACGAAGAGGGCGGTCCGTATGATCATCACGCTGATGGACACGGCCACACTGGGCATGAGCAGCTCCAGCTTGGCCATGCCGTACGTGACAATGGCGGGCACGGTGAAGACCATGTCGCCGACGAGGGCGCCCGCCAGAAGCACAAAGCGAGCCCTCTCTCTCAGGACGCGCTCGCCAGAGACCACCGCCACCACCACGCAACTAGCGCAGATGTTCACCGCCCCGCCCACGATAACCGCGGCCGGTATGATGACGCTGAACACGAACGTGTAGAGCAGCTCCACGTCCATGCCGGATAGGCGGGTCGCAGCTATGGACGTCAGGTTGGAGTGTAGGGTTGTGACTACGGAGGTCAGGTTGGTGTGTAGGGTCGGGGCTACAGAGGTCAGGTTGGTGTACAGGGCTGGGGCTACGGAGGTCAGGTTCGTGTATAGGGTCTGGGCTACGGAGGTCAGGTTGGTTTGTCGGGCCAGGGCTATGGAGGTCAGGTTGGTGTATAGGGACGTCGCTATGGAGGTCAAGTTGGTGTATAGGGTCGTCGCTATGAAGGTCAGGTTGGTTTGTAGGGTCGGACTCCCGCCACTTGTTCCATTAGCCATGGTTGCTGTGAGAGACGTCAATGACAATTACAAATCCAGTAGGTCACATATGTGTAGTAGCTATGTGTGGGAGGAGACCAGGGCACCTGGAGAAAACCTACACATTTGTACGTGTAGGTATGTTGAACTTCTTTCGCACGGTACGTAGCCAACCGTCCTTTTTGGAGGTGCGGGGGAAGGACAAACTAAACACAAAAAGCAGTTCTAAAGAAATTAGTTTTCAATCTAGATGATTTAAAAGAGCAGCGCTCTGTTGGCTTTCTAATATCGGAAGGAAGAGCATTATAGATAGCCGCAGAAGTGCATGTGAAAGCGCACGTTGTGGTAATCATCTTTGTTTGATGCGTTGCCAAAATCTGCTGCCGCGAGGATGACCAGAGTTCGTGTGATGATTTATATTCCTTGACAAGATCAGCAATGTATCGTGATTCATTTGTGGCAAGCACTTTGTGTGTAATGAGATGGAATGGGTAGAGTGGAATGGAAAGGGTGGCGTCCACAATTAGCTGTTCCGCTTTCTGCTGGCAGAGACATACAGGGTATGGCTCCACCTCTAAACCCACCAACAGGAAGGGAGTGTGGGACAGATGGAGAATAGTCTACACACTCTGATGTACAGCACTCTCCTGGCAGAGCCAGGACACGGCTCCGTATCAACGGCCACAGGAAGGGAGTTTCGCAACATGTGTGTACTCCACTAACTCTCGCTGATGCCTCTTGGATTACAGGTCACGTGCAGCAGAGCCACCACCAACCAGCTAGATGGTGAAAAGAATACGATCACTTTCCATTAAACACATCTAAAGTAAGACTCGGATCAATTCCTTATTCAGGGTAGTTCAATTGCCATTGATGTAAACGCGTGTGAATGAACAGGCATCGTATAATGCGCGACACGCATTCCTGGATCGCGCTGTATGAAACCTATTTTCCTATAGACATTCATACTATACGGGGGTGTTGCGTTACCAAAGAAACATTACAGTTGATCATCGATTAAACGGCGTGCGATTATCCAGCTTTAAACATTATCCGGTGGTCCTGGGCCGATCCGGCAAAACTGCTCCAAAGACTGTAACCAGTCCGGCGATCAGTGCCATGTGCGTGACAAAAAAAAGTAGCTACGCTTTATGTCAGTGTCACATTATTTACAGTACATTATACACTACATACAACATCTTAAACAATGAACATACTAAATTTTGATTTAAAGCTTTCGTGACTGCAGTAATTCATATTCTTAGTTTTTTCGGTAAAGTCACGTTGAAGAGAAACAACAAAATAACAAAATATATATAAAACAATAAAAAAAATTCTCACGACGTTTCGACCATAACTCAAACGGTCATCATCAGGTGTGTCATGCAAACCGACACACCTGATGATGACCGTTTGAGTTATGGTCGAAACGTCGTGAGAATTTTTTTATTGTTTTATATATATTTTGTTATTTTGTTGTTTCTCTTCAACGTGACTTTACCGAAAAAACTAAGAAAAATGAACATACTAATTCTAGATTTGTGTTGTGGCCGAAAGTCGTGATTTTTGTTGTTTTATTTTTTACCTACGTGACTTTACCCAATAGAACCAAAGAGTAATGAACATACTACACTATATACATTGTTCATGACTAATAAATAAAAACAAAATATTCAGTGCAATCCGGTAAAAAGGCCATTTAACTCGGCGTGCCGGTCTAAAGGCTGCACCAGTCCGGCGATCGTCAAACACACGTTTTTGAAACAAGAGCGTAGTACCACGTTCATCACCCCATGCAGCATTTTTGAGATTGGAGTAGTAAGGAACAGTAAATAAAATAACATTTTATAGTAGTATATTAATTTTGTCTATTTGTATGGTTATGCAAATCTAATATAGTAAACAAATGTAAAACATATTACTCTTTGGTTCTTTCGGTAAAGTCACGTAGAAAGAAAATAAATGAAAGAATAGAATACGACGTTTCGATTGCAACACAAGCAATCGTCATCAAGTAGAACTCAATTTGAGAGAGAGACAAAACACAGACACGGAGACAGACACACAAGCAGAGAGAGACAACAGAGACACACAGAGAGAGACACAACAGAGACACACAGGGACCCAATGCCTCTGTGTCTTTGCGTTTAAATAGAGAGAGGGGGGTGGGGCAGAGAGAGAAGTGGGTCTGCTGGAGCAGAGAAATTAGCAGGGGGAGAGGAAGACCCAGCAAATCCACACACCGGGTCGTTAACTGTGTGTCAGCTGACTCTCTGCGTTGCATTGCATTACATTTCCAAAAAATTGCTAAGTTTGTTTTCTGAAACTTCCTATTTCTCTCTCTAAAAATATACCAGGCTCTCATAGGTCCATTTGCTCTGTCTCTCCCCCGGTCGCTTCGGGGGTAGATTTCCACACAACTCTCTAAAATTCACAGGCTTGCTAGGTTTTTATCTCCCCCTGCTACCACGGGGTGTATTTCCACACAGCTATATCATTGACATGCTAATTTATCTGCTCCAGCAGACCCACCTCTCTCTCTGCCCCCCCCTTTCTCTATTTAAGGCGACGACACAGAGGCATTGGGTCTCTGTGTGTCTATGTTGCGTCTCTCTCTGTGTCTCCGTGTTGTCTCTCTCTCTGTCTCCGTGTCTGTGTTTTGTCTTGCTCTCAAATTTAGTTCAACCTGATGACTACTGCTTGTGTTGCAATCGAAACGGCGTATTATATTATTTAATTTATTTTCTTTCTACGTGACTTTACCGAAAGAACCATAGTATTTCCTGCCGTCAGGAAAGTTTCAAATCAAGTAAAAGACATTCTTTGGTTATTTCGATAAAGTCACGTAGATAGAAAAAGAAGAATAAAAATAAAGTGAATAAAAATAATAAAATACAATACAATAATTTAAAAAAACACTGATGTGGACTGTAGCCTGGTTCTTAATCTGAGTGTACTGGAAGTCTATAATGTCGACTGTAGCTTGGTTTTTCAGCTGGTGAGCGTATTGGCAGTCTATGATGTAGACTGTAGCAATGGTTATTAAACCGAGTGAGCGTACTGGCAATCGATAATGCAGACTGTAGCCTGGTTATTAACCTGAGTGAGCATACTGGCAGTCTATAATGTAGACTTATTCTGGTTATTTCAGTAATGAAAAAAAATTAAAACAAAAACCACGACGTTGATCGCAACGCAAGCGGTCGTCATCAGGAAAAACATATACACACACAACACCGAAAAACGTTATACAAGAATGTGCAACAATATATATTTTAATTATGATGATTCGTGATTCTCTAAAGTTTTTAAAAACCTGGCGCCCCCTTCCTCCGAAAGCCGACAAATTATTATAATAATAATCAATGATCGCCGGTCAGTATAATTTAATTTAATGATTTTAGTCCTGGAATAACAAAATGTATAAATATAACACTTAATATTATTAACATTACATCCCTAAATTCACGCTATGGGGGGGGGGGGGGGGGGCGGGGACGCATTAACGCAAGGGACGCTTATGCTGCACGCGGGAGATAGCCCCAATGTGTCGTGCTCAAGTACCGTTAGAACACAAAAACATTAACAAGCTGCAACATGTACAAAATTCTCTGGCACGTGTTGCGGCGGCTACTGCAAGATCGCACCGTGTTCGTCCAGCGCTCGCCGAGCTGCACTGGCTTCTGGTTGGCGAACAAATGCGTTATGAGGTCGCACTCATTACACACACAAAGTGCTTGCCACAAATGAACCACCAATACCTTGTTGAGCTCCTCAGGGAGCATAAACCATCACGCACACTCCGGTCATCCTCGCAGCAGCGGCGGCTTTTGGCTTGCAACCAAGCAGACGGTCACTGCATCGTTCGCTTCTTTGGCTGTCTGGAACGCTCTTCCGATATTAAGCCACAGGAGCTATGCACTTATAAATCATCTACGTTGAAAACTAATTTCTTTAGAATAGATGTTTGGGGCTGTCCATAAATGACGTCACGCGATTTTGGACGATTTTTGACCCCCCCCCCCCTTCGTCACTCGGCATCACTAAAAGTCAGACCCCCCCTCAAATATGACGTCACAAAGCTCTGCCCCCCCAAAAAAAAACCCATGTAGTTGAACTTCTTTCACGCTTTAAACTATTGTCATTATAGTGCGTATTTAATGTGGTGCTGTACTCTGATGTTGTAGGAGAAAACATTTATTAAAAAGTATTTAACTAAGTAGAACGTGTTGTCTATTTATTAAAAGTTGCGCATTTTGATATGACGTCACATTTCTCACCCCCCCCCCCCCCATCGTCACACATCGTCACAAATGTCTGACCCCCCCCCCCCCCCCCCCCCCCAGTTGCGTGTCGTAATTTATGGACGGCCCCTTTGTGTTTAGTTTGTTGTCTTTCCCCCACCGCTCCGATTAGCACGGGTGGCTACGTACGGTGCGAAAGAAGTCCCACATACATACAAACATACATTAGGGAGTATTTATTTCAGCCATGAAATGTACGTATGTGGTTGAACTTCTTTCACACCATAAGTAGCCAACCGTGCTAACCGGAGGTGCGGGGAATGAAAACTAAATGTAAAATGCGCAACCAGCACCATTATAACATGGGACACACACCGTTGTAACGCGGAACACACACCGTTATAACGCGGGACACGCACCGTTATAACGCGGGACACACCATTATAACGCGGGACACACACCGTTATAACGCGGGGCACACACTGTTATAACGGGGTTTCTAAGCCGTCGACAACGGACAACTTTCTCGAGCTGCGCCGCTAAGCGGCACAGTAACACAGTAAACGCAGTGGCAGCGTTCCCTCAGTTATTTGTCCTGCTATCCTCACTGCGCGGCGTGTATAGTTGTCACATCGTACCTCGCCACACTTTATCCTGACATTATTCATGAGGAAATTGTTATCGTTTAACGTGTTTTCCGCTTCACATGTAACTTTTAAGGAATGCACTTACCGTGTTAAACGAGGACTCGCTGTACACGACAAGCATGTCACATGACACAT